ATTTAAATAAATGAGAACTATGTAAACTTTCTAATTAGATGCTGGTGAATAGAGCTGAGAAAATGGAGAAGGAATAAAATGTGGTAAAAATTAAATTTCTTAGGCCCATATTTTCAAAGATGTTTGTGTAACTAAACATACAGATAATCACTTAGTGGAAGTTTTTGAAGTACCTAAGCAGATTAGGTACCTAACTCCATTGAAATCCTAAATCCATCCAAACACCTTTTGAAAATCTGTCCACTAGGTTGTGACTCTGGAAACAATTATGCATGTGCTTACCTTTAAGCATGAGTAGTCCCAGTAGATGTTAATGGGGCTGCTCAGAAACTTAAACGCATACATAAGTGAGGCAGGATCAGGGTGCTGTAGCTCTGAAGACACAAGAAGAAAAGATCTGAGTTGGAAGGCATCAATGTGTATGGATGCTTTTAAAAATACAGACTCACTAGATAATTTTAGTTTTCAATCTCTTGATTTGCTATTCTTAGAGCTAAGTTAATGACTTGGGGATATTAATAATTGCTTCAGTGTTTTATTTATTTTAAATTAAAGCTCGCCTTTAAAAAGATATCATACAGTGGTTTGCCATGAACAGTCTTGCAGGACTATTTCACTGTAAATTTTTTCTGCTTATTAAAATTGATGATGTACAATAACAATATCAGGTTATTCTAGGAATTTGATCCATCAGCTAGAATAAATGTCATTCATTTGTTTATTTTGAAATTGTAGTATCATGGATGGGATGACTGAAGCTTGCATAAAAGGTGGAATTGAAGCATGTTATGCCTCAGTTTCTTGTGTCTGTGCCCTGCTTGGGGCATTAGATGAACTAAGCCAAGGAAAAGGCCTTAATGAGGAACAGGTCCACCTGCTACTCCGACGCCTGGAAGAATTGAGGGATGGGACTGAGACAAGCAGAGACTCTATGGAAATCAATGATGCTGATTTTAGGTGGCAAAGGCGTGTCCTGTCATCAGAACATACGCCCTGGGAATCAAGAAACGAGAAGAGTCCTGACATTAGCATTAGTGTTACCACAGATACTGGGCAAACCACTTTGGAGGGAGATATGGGGCAGACTACTCCAGAGGATAACCCTGAGGATCAAAAAAACTCACTGCAGTCTCCAGCCAGCCAAGACTTTAAAGAGATTGAGTGTAAAGAGTCGGAGTCAGAAACAATAGACCAGCCAGATGTGGTTCAAAGGAGTCACACCATCGTTTATCCAGATATAACTAATTTCCTGTCCGTTGACTGCAGGACACGGTCCTATGGATCCAGATACAGTGAAAGTAACTTCAGCGTTGATGACCAAGATCTTTCTAGGACTGAATTTGACTCGTGTGATCAATACTCCATGGCAGCAGAGAAAGACTCTGGGAGGTCAGATGTCTCAGACATAGGTTCTGATAACTGTTCACTGGCTGATGAAGAGCAGACTCCAAGGGACTGTCCTGGACAGAGGTCCTTGCGTACTGCTGCTCTCTCTTTGAAATTATTGAAGAACCAAGAAGCAGACCAGCACAGTGCCCAGCTGTTTGTACAGTCCCTTGAAGCCCTTCTTCCTCGACTAATAACTCTCCACCGTGTAGAGGAGGTGGATTTAGCGCTCCAGAATTTTGCCTCGACCTTCTGCTCAGGTTTGAAAGTCGATATTTACTATGCAATTAACATGCATTATATTTGAAGAGCGCCTCTTCTCCTAAGTAATCCTAAGCCACTTCTAGAATAGGCAGACTGATGCTGTAACAAGCATATAAATCTTCCTTTAAACAAACTATTTTTTTTTTAGTTAAATAATATTATCCCAAGTTCTCTGACATCCATGAGAGACTCTCCATTGATTTAATAGCCTTTAATGAAGGGAGAAGATAAACTTTGATGTGGTAGCTATGTTTCCCATATATTATACCGTACATCAAAAGAGCACAGTGGGGTAAAACAACCTTTTCTGAGTAAGGAGTGCTTTGGATTTCATATGAGCATAGGAATAAGAGGCATGAACCCATCTTCTATTTTAAAATGGATTAAATATAGTTTGCAATACATCTGCATTAATATTAACAATTCAAAACTTCACAAAGAAGAAACCAAAAGTCTCTCAGTAGTAAATTGTAAAAAGGGCATCTTTTCCTATTACTAATCTATGTTACCTAAACAGACTCTCATCCCACAGCAAATACAAAATAGTCTAGGGCGCAGGCATTAAAGGGCAAATAGTTACACTTAATTTTTCAGAATAAGGACCTTTGAGAGTTTGATCTTTGGAAATTAAAGATGACCAAGTGAAGGCTTATTTTCTATTGAAAATATACATAGCTAGTATAAATATTCTCTATTTGTAAAGAGACTTTTTTATCCTGATAATGATCCAACATGTTTAAGATATATATTTGTTCCTTATCTGATTTCACCACAACCACCTTTACCCTTGGTCCTCTCTCTCGTTCAGTCATTTATTCACTCACTCATTCATTCTATCTTCTACACACACAAACTCAAAAATGATACATCCTATATCCTCAGCCCAAAGAACACAGGCCAAAGAACCTCCCCCATTAATCTCTACATCAAGCTCGTACCTTTCTGTTTGCTTTTAGAGCATCTATTTTGGAAAGATAGCTAGTCTTGATTTAGACTGCACATCATGGAAACCACCATGTCCATAGCTAGGCTAGCACAATGGCTAATTACCTTCATTGTTAACGTTCTTTACCTTAATTTTAGTCTAATTTGGCCAAGTATTTTAAAAATGCACTCAGCAGATCATAAAAAGTTCCCAGGAAGAAGCATCCTTGTATTTCATGGAAGCATGGTTGCAAGGAAAGTTGTTGTGTCCTACCAACATCTGTGTGCAAGTCTCAGTGGTGGCTGTGTTGAAAAGATCCATTGCTGTTTTCTTTTTGAAGGGCATAGGTGGAAAACTTAGCTTTTGTAGAGAACCTGCTTACTAAGTAAAGGATCTAACTGATAAGTACAGAATCTTCAGGGGGAAGCCGAGTTAGTCTGCAGGATAAACTTAAAAAGCAACAAAAATTCTGGTAGCACTTTATAGACTAACAAAACATGTAGATGGTATCATGAGCTTTTGTGGGCACAGCCCACTTCTTCAGATAACCGGAGTTATGAGTTTAGGATGTGCAGACCCAAAATAAATAGGGAAAGGAGGTGAAGGGAAAATAGAAGGGGGCGGGAAACAAGGAGCAGAGGGAATGAAAATATCAAAGGGAAAAACAAGTAGGCAGAGCCGGTGCCTATTAAACCCCTGAAGATTGGATAGTTAAAAGTACAGTCAGATACCGTTAAATCCATTAAGCGTGCGTGCTAATGAGCTAACTTGTGAATTTTCAGTAAATCTGTGTTTCTATGCAGAGAATCCCCGTCCTATCTACTTTGTTCCATTCATGTTTTTTAATGCACTAGAATAATGCAGTGCAGTACTATGTATAATAGTGTCTTTCACATCAGCTATGTCCTAAAATACTTATATAACACAATTATAGAATTGAACAACAGCTGAGAGAGCACAGATTTATGAATTATAAAGAAGGGAATACTGATATGCTTTCAGATGAAATTTGAAAAAAAAAAAGTAGTCAGAAATATGTGTTTGGGAAATATTATGATTATAATTTTAATCTTTTTTTTCTCCTTGAAAAATTTGCCCATATTTGTTACTAGATCAAAAGAGTGAACATGAAAACTTAATAGCACTAAGTTGGATGTTTGTTTATATAGTATAATTTGATATTTCACACATCACATGTTCTTGATTTTAAAAAACAAACAAACCCAAATCTATGTGGCATGACTCTTCTGTGACCTCTCTAAACAATTGAATGAATTGTTGTCCTCCTCCAGGCAGTATATTAATTTGTTATGGGTACAGCTTTTTATAATTAAAGTTAGTAACTAATATTCTCGGAACGCAGAGTGTTATTTTCAGAACAGTACCGAGTTGTTAATTCTAACAAACCAGACATTGTTTGAATAATCAAACAGGACAGTTTACACAGTCTGTCGCTCATCTATCATATTCTGTTAATGGAAGCATTTTATGGTGTTTATGCCTTACAGGTATTGTTCATGATTACAAGCCTACCCATTAGCTGCTGGTTTCCTTTTTGAGGCTGAGCAGTTGCTCAGTCCATTCAATATACATGAGGGAACTGCAACTTTTCCATGTTTTAGAGGAATTGGTAACTCAGACATTTTGGGCATACATAGGCATAGCTCATTTCCATGCACGCTTAGCAGTTTTCACTTGCAATTTTGCAAATTTTTGCACTTTTAATTGCAGTAGCTATGCACATCAGTTTGGTGTGCAATTTTGTATAAATTTTATATGTAAAATGTGCCAAAGAGAATTTTCTATATTTTCTTTAAGATGTCTCTTTAATGCCTTATTCTTCTTTCACTCTATTCTAACTGATGTAACTTTTATAAGCTGACCTTAAGTAGCAAATCAATATATTGAAGCAGCAGGTTTCATTATCATGGTCTCACTCCAGCAAAGTACTTAAATACACCCTTAACTTTAAACACATGAGAAGTTCCATTGCAATCACTGGAACTACTCATAGACTTACAGTTAAGTGCATGGTGAAACGTGTTGCCGCACTGGGGCCTATTACAAGACAAGATGAAGATTTCTGCCAGGAGTAACCACAGGAATATCCAACATTTTCCCCCTCATAAGTAAAACACACATTTTTGTGGACACTATACATGTCCAGTCCCATGACTTCTTTTCCACACACCCCACTCCTCAGACAGTTATTCATTTTTAGACCCACCCGTGAACAATTATTCACTTTCTAAATCCGCCCTCAAACAGTTATTCACCTTATCTACGCCCCCCAAGTGACGTCAATGGAAAGTCCAAGAAGGCAGCAGCACAGAACTGTCAAACCCTCACGAGGCAAGAAAATCATTATTTTTTTCTGTGTGTGGTTTTTTAATGTTATGGTTTATTGTATTTTTTTAAATTGTGTCTAAGAAGAGGTATGATCTTTATGGTGGGAGGAGTATACTAGCAATAAACCATTGGGTAGTAATCAAGTGATTTGGCATTGCTGAAACAGTTTATCAACCGCAGAAGCTGATTCTAGCTTCATAGCAAATACTCCTCTAGGATGGAGTTTTACAGAGGTGAAGCCCGCAAATATATTGCCCATCCATAGTTTACAAACAAAAACAAGGATTCAAATAAATATTTCAGTTTTTGACTTGTTTTCCAACCAGTCAACTAACTAACTTAACCCTAAAGAAGATGTATAGTTCTGTTTAATATCTGCCTGAGAAGAAGGGATCATGCTATTATGAAGATGATCAGGAGACATAGTTACAAGTAAATATGTAACACCTTATTTGTAGAGGAACTTAGCAGTCACAGCTTCTGTTGAAGTCAAGTGGAGTTGGGAGTGCTTTGCACATCTGAAAAGCAGCTCTTTGTACTACTTACATGAACTGTCCAGCTATCTGCTGACAATACAAGGTATGCCAACTTCTAGCCAAATTACCACCAAATATTTCTCCCTCTAATTCTAACTTTAGGTCAAAGAGTGGATGATGTTATGGGGCTTGATCCTGCAAAGTGCTGAGCATTTTGCTCCTGATCCCACAAAGCATTTAGCTATGTGCTTAACGTTGAACATGTCAGTTGGCCTTTTGAAGTCTTGCACTAGTCATATGGTTAAAGTTGAGCATATGCTTCAGAGCTTGGCTGGACCAGAGTTAGTGTTCAGCACTCTACAGGATCAAACTCAAGATAGGAATGGAGAAAAATATTGATTATATTAAATGTTTACAATAGACATCTATAATATATAGTCATATTAACCTACTCGAGCAATATGGTACTACTGAAGGCCTATGTTTTACTAGAATTAGGTTGTGATTGTTCCAGAGCAAAATCTATTTGAAGTGTGAGGGCTCACTCTGCCTTTTTGTTAGATATGATGTTCTCACCAGGATTTGAGGGGAACCCCAATTTCAGCTTCCAGACTGTGATGAATGCAGACAGTATCTACATGGTCTCGCATTATGCCCTTCTTCTCAACCTGAAATTGAACAACTCAGACTACTACAGGAAGAAACCTGCCCAAGCACCTGTGTCCCTGGTGAGTGAGGAAGATAGAACAAACCATGGTGAGAAGTAAAAAGCCCTTTGGTGACTGAAGATACAGTATTTATTTTATTTGGAGCTGCTAAACTCTGTTCGTTTCCTCCCAATCATTTGAGACTAGGCAGAGAAAGTAACCTGATATTTTCAAATCATGAAGCGACCGTAAACTAGTCCGCACGCGTGCACACACACAGAGACCGTAAACTATTCCGTGCTTCCCCACGTATATACACTCACTCTCTCTCACTTTGCCTAGCTTTAGTTCACACCATTTGGTGCAGAAGGGGGTGGGTAATATGAAAAAGTGTTTCAATTCCAGTGATTATCAAAACTAACCTTTGAACGTTATTAGCATTTCCCATTTGTTTTTCTCAGAATAATTCAGTCTTTTGGGAGAGCGCATCCTTGCACCAGGCCTGAACTTGGCCTTGTGTGTCATTGGGTGTGTCACCTGAGTAAGAACTTCTCTTAATGAGGCAGGGCACATTCCTGATTAGTTGGCCCATGAAGGCAAAGCCCTGTATTAGAGGGCAGTGCAGAGCCTATGTGCACCATAGGGAGCAGCAGGTGTCCTCACATCTTCCAGCACTCAGGTCTTACTCAACAGGCGTGGGTGTTGGGCCATGGCTTGCCTCCCACGCCCTATTTGGGTCTTGTACAGCTCAGGAAAAGTATTGAAGGACCTGTCCCACCAGTGACCTCATCATAGGAACTGTAATTATGCCTGTCTCCTACGTGAATGGCCACAAAGAGAGGGGAAAGTTCCTTGCACCATCTCACTCATCATTGCCCAGGTGTGTAAGGGCCAGGCACAGTCTAGCTCTGGGTCAGTTTTTACTCTTACAGAAACTCTGTACCCCCATCCTCTGCCTCCTCATTTCTTTGTGTGCATCAGTCTGCTTGGCGAGAAGTGGATCTGGTAGCTGAGGCATACACATAGATGACTGTCATGTTATATTTAGATTTATATTGTTCTCTGCAGAAAGAGTTTATGAAGCAGGTTCAGTCCAGCGGAGTATTGATGGTGTTCTCTCAGGCATGGGTTGAGGAGCTCTACCATCAGGTACTGGAAAGGAACATGCTGGGAGAGGCTGGTTACTGGGGAAGCCCTGAGGAGCACAGTCTTCCACTCATCACCATGTTGACCGGTCAGTATCATATTGCCATTGCCACATGAACACCATATTCTGTTTGTATATATACAGATTAACTTCTAAATGTATTCTGTAGATACCTAAAATATTAAATATTTAAACATTAGGCTTCACTCAATTACCTGTAGTTCAACATGCTATATGGCTGAAGGACAGTGCTTACTAATGTGCCACTGGAGAAGAAATTTGGATTCAGGTGTGGCATGTACCTCATTCACTCTGAATCAGACATTCTGTGTTGAAAGTACTTGAATCCTGGATCATTTCAAAAAAATACCTGACAGTACCTTGGTTCTCTATGGCCAGTATGACCAAAAACTGAATAGACTCAGAAAGGTTAGCTTGTTTGTGTTTATGGCAGTCTTCCAAGCCCCTACTGATTTATGCAAAATCATGAACATTGAAAAAAATAATTCCAGCTATACATACAAAATGATAACGTTAAATTAGTTGTGACCACTCAAGAAAGGGATTTGGAGTCATTGTGGATGGTTCTTTGAAAACATCTGCTCAAAGTACAGTGGCAGTCAGAAAAGCTACCAATGTTAGGAACCATTAGGAAAATGATAGATACCAAGACAGTAAATACTGTAATGCCACTATATAAATCCATGGCATGCCTAAACCTTGAATACAGTGTTTTGTTCTGATTGCCCATCTCAAAAAAGATATCTTAGAACTGGAAAAGGTACAGAGAAAGGCAAACCAAAACATGATTAAGTGTATAGAATAGAGATTAAAAGGACTGTTACTGTTCATCTTGGAAAGGACACAAGTAATAGGGGATGTGATAGAGGTATATAAACTTATGAATGGTATAGAGAGTGAATAAGGAAGTATTATTTACCCTTATAGAGAACACAAGAACAGGGTCACCCAATGAAATTAATAGACAGCAGGTTTAACAAAAGGAAGTACTTCACACAATGCACAGTCAATCAATCTGTGGATGTTGCAAAGGCCAAAACTATGCCCTGTTCATTTCATTACCCTGAAGCATCTAGTACTGGTCACTGTTGGAGGACAGCGTACTGAGCTATGTGGACCATTGGTCTGAGCTAGTATGGCAAGTTTTATGTTTCTAATCAGAATCAGGGCTTACATGATAGTCAAAGCATGTGAAAAGTAGCTCTGTAGCTTTGTCAGAGATATTATAGGGACGGATCCTTAGCTGGTATAACTGAGCTTCAGGGGTTGTCTCTGGCAGATGCTGAAATGATCTTCCTTTGATATCTTGGAATCGAAGACCTACTGCTGCTCCAAAAATCTATCAGCAAAATCTAAATCTAGGATTTGTGCCCAGAACCGAAAGAACATGATCTGTGCCTTTCTAAAGATTCTCCTTCAGAGTCCTAGGGTGACAAGGATAGAATGTGGTGGATTAGACTAGAGAGGCAGTACTGGACTGGACCTTGGGAGACCTGAGTTCTACTCTTGGCTCTTCCATTAACCTGCTGTGTGACCTTGAACAAGTCACATCCCTACTGGTGCCTCAGTTTCCCCATCGGTAAAACAGAGGCAAGAACACTGACCTCCTTTATAAAACACTAAGATCTAAATGTTGCTTTTCCTCAGCACTTCTGTCTCCCCAAACCTCTTTCTCTATTCACCAGTGTTTATTAACAGCTCCATTGACTTCAGTGTGCTATTACAGAGGCAAAGGCTGTTGATTTCTGAAGACTCTGTAGAGCACTCTGGGACACAGCTTCGCTGGTGTCAGTTGAAATAGCTAACGGCCATTACTGTTCAAAAATTTGTAGTTTGGAGAAAAGCCAAAGGGGCTTTTAAAACTTGACCAGAACTTGTAAGTAAATACTGATGCAGGAGAAAGGAAGTTGTGTAACTGCCTTAGAAGTGGTGTGGTTCAACTCTCCAACTTCCTTTGTCACTGCAGGCCTCTCAGGATGAACCTCTGGAAAAAAGCATGGTGTGTTCTGGGCACACATCCTAGATTTGTATTTTCACTGGCAGATATTGGAGCAGCAGTAGGGCACCAATAGAACAGCAGTGTAATGGCAGTGTACCCATGGCTCAGAACGAGCATGAATACTGGCAGTCTGAGCCTGCAATTTTTCCATTGATTGAACTCCCATTGATGTAGATTGATACTATGTCAGGGATATGCTAAAATACTACAAAATTCTGCTAAGAAGCTAAAAGACCGGAATATCTATGACAAATACTTCAGTGCTCCCATTAATATATTCCTAGGGGGGAAAAAATGCAGGATGGATATTGTGAAGGTGGGTATTCCTATAAAACTTTATCAATATTTTCTGTTTCAGTGTTGCATGCAATATGTTTACATGAGGCGCATACAAGTAAGTTTCTTGTAATTAGAAGCAATAACTTCGGGTAGCCCCATTTACTGGTATCATTCATTCTAATGTTTCACCTCTGAAAACACTGAGTTAAGTAGTCCTTTGTAATAACTGGCGAAGGGCTAGCACACAAAACTTTGGGGTAAATTAAAAGGCAGCCCCTGAAGGCAGAGACTGTTGAGAAGTCTAAGTTTTGAGTGTCTGGGCTAAGCTGCTAGACCTACCAAAATTTAATCCTTCTATCTGGTTATGTTTCGTTCCAGCTGTTAAGATTAAACAATACTGGGTTTTGAAAAGGCTGACTTGGGTCACTGTTAACCACTGGTCACAGCTCCCGAAGGGAATGCTTGTACAATGGACCTGCTGAGTTGACTTGTGGGGGACTGTACCCTTAAGGCCCTGCTTAGAGGGTCTAGCAGAGTCAAAGTTGTGGCTTACCCTGAACTGTGATTAATATCAGGAGAAAACATCCTATCAGTGAGGTCTGCTAGACTATGGACCAAGGAAAGTGATGGATGCTTTTTTCTTTGAATCACTTAAAATTACACTGAGGAGAACAGTTGGGATTATAATTCTTATTACCTGGAGGCCCTTTTGTACCCTCATTGAGGTCCCATCACAGTGCCAGAGGCATGTAAGTGAGAATCAGTCCCTCAAGAACATGCTATGAGAAATTCTGGAATGCTTAGTGCTGTGGTTCAATATGAAATGTTCTTCTTACCCCATATGTGTGTGTGTTTATGTCCTGGCAGACATTGATGGATTGGGGAGCAGTGCTATAGGTGGGCAGCTGATGGCATCTGCATCAACACAATCTCCTCTCACCCAGAATCAGAAGATGGATGATTCTATTGTGGCAGGTAGAAACTCTGCTCTGTGCGTGTGTGTGCGCGTGCACCATTAGAAGGCTTTTATATAGTAGAACCCCATGGAATTTATTCAAATGTGCAAAGGCTTCAGACAAATGGGACACTGAGCCCAGTGAAGTTGTTCCCTGGATTAATTTAACCTAATGTGCTTATGCAATTAATCACAGCTGGTGCTGTGGCAGGCTTTAAACGGTTTACCTATTAAAAGTAAACAACAGAACAAATATTTAGAACGTAAAGACCTAAGTCAATAAATCCAACGGACTAGTAAAAAGATCAGATGGTTCATTAAAAAGATCAGATTGTCCCGCAAGTAAAGAAGAGATGGGGCCCATTTCCCCTAAATGACAAAGCAGCAGTTCTTTTGCTTTCCAGGAAATGATGGTTTCATTTCTTGCTGCAGGTGTTGCTTTTGCTCGATACCTTCTGATTGGCTGCTGGAAGAATTTGATTGATACCTTATCCACGCCTTTGACTGGCCGCATGGCAGGAAGCTCCAAAGGGCTAGCATTCATCCTGGGAGCTGAAGGAGTCAAGGAGCAGAACCAGAAGGAGAAAGATTCTATTTGTATGAGCCTGGATGGACTGAGGAAGGCAGCCCGGCTGAGCTGTGCTCTAGGTATCAGTATGGACCAATGAGGAAGGCAGCCCGGCTGAGCTGTGCTCTAGGTATCAGCTAATCCTAGATGGATTCATATAACTGGATGAAGCAGTAAATAGTAAATGTTCTTAAGAGGGAATTTGGGGAAGAGGGAAGCAAACTGGGAAGCACAGGAAAGCTGGTGTATAACCCAATAACCCTGTTTGTGATGCTGTCTGATGGTAAGATTGCATAACTCCAGTGAAGGAAATCAATAAAAATGCTGATTACGCAAGAAGTGTTTTGCCTCTTTGTAGGGGTTGCTGCTAATTGCGCATCTGCCCTTGCCCAAATGGCTGCTGCCTCCTGTGTTCAAGAAGAGAAGGAGGAAAGAGAAGCCCAAGAGCCCAGTGATACTATAACTCAAGGTAGCTACTATTGGCCAGTTAGTCTTTATTATCTAATGTTACAGAACTGACATTGTAAGGTATTTTGTTATAGGTGGCAGAAGCAGGAAAGGGGGAATTTCAGTGGCACAGTATGTTGGCAGTGGTTCCTCCAGTTTCTGAATGGATAAGCTGTCAGCCTCCAGAACCTAGGGCCACGCACAGTATGTTGGCAGTGGTTCCTCCAGTGGCTGAATGGCTAAGCTGTCAGCCTCCAGAACCTGGGGCCATGAGTTCAAGTCTTGCTCAAGGAGTAGCTGGGCTGCTGGCACCAGCTGAGGGTAGGGAGGTGGATTACTAGTTTTCCCAGGGCTGGAGCCAGCATGGGCGAGCAGCTGGCTCTGGAGCCACAGAGCTGCTTGCTCTGGCTGTAGGAACCGGAGCAGCGACTGGCCCGGGCACGCGTGAAGAGCCGCTCCAGCACATGCAGAGCCGCCCTGCAAAAGTCAGAGGTTCTATGATAGAGACCATATGCTTGGTCCTTCTGTGAGGGCAGGGGACGGGACTTGATCTCTGGAGGTCCCTTCCAGTTCTAGGCTATGTCTACACTCGCGGCTTCCTGTGTGAGTAATATGCAAATGAGGTTGTGTGGAATATCGCTGAGTCTCATTTGCATACCTAATGAGCCACCTTTTTCTTCAGAAGAGGCTCTTGCGCAAGAAGGAGCATCTACACTGCCCCTTCTTGCGCAAGAAAAACCCTCTTGCGCAATGTCGCTAAGCTGATTATTTTCAGGAATAACGGCATTGCATAAGAGGGTTTTTCTTGCACAAGAAGGGGCAGTGTAGACGCTCCTTCTGGCGCAAGAGCCTCTTCTGCAACAGTGTAGACGCTCCTTCTTGCACAAGAGCCTCTTCTGAAAAAAATGGTGGCTCATTAGGTATGCAAATGAGGCTCGGCGATATTCCACGCTTAACCTCATTTGCATATTACTCCCGCAAGAAGCCACAAGTGTAGACATAGCCCTAGTGTTCTATGATTGCCATGCAAATACATGGGAAGTACACCTACCAAGGAGACCATTAGTCTCACATAGACTTCGTTGTACCAGGATCTTATTACTTCACACTCCATTTTATCCTGTGTAAATCTTCTACTGATTCAGTTGAACACCATTAAACTCGCTCACTCACACAGAGAGAGAATGAACTTAAGTGTAGCATGTACATCTGAAAAAGGTGTTATCTTTTATCTTTTGCCTAAAACAACATATTAGCGTAAATCTTTCATATTGTGGTCTCCTCCATCCCCACCATACGTCCAGTTCTAGGGTTTGTTTGTTTGTTTGTTTGTTTGTTTAAGTGACAGATATTCTTAAGAAATGTTTTTTATTGTTTTTTACTGGACAGTGAAACAGAAGGTGGAGCAGAAGCTGGAGCAGATGGGGAAAGTGCAGGGAGTCTCCTTGCACCCTGCTCATGTTTTGTGCATGGATGCCATCCTCAATGTCGGACTGGAAATGGGAAGCCACAATCAAGACTGTTGGCCTCATGTGTTCAGGTACAAGAACCTAGTGGCTTTGTCTTTATTTTAACAGAATCCTGCAACTTAGAGCGTGTGTGTGAGAGAAATAAATTGGTATTTGTTCCCTTCATCATTCTGGGAGGGGCTCCCAGGGCTTAATATATTGATCCCCACAGCACTGCTGCCACCCAGGGTAGGGCTATTAACCCTGTAGTACAGATGGAGACCTGAGGCACAAGGGAGCTAAGGCCTAAATCCTCAAAGCATATGGAGGCAGCTAATACCACACCTAGGAAGCCTGTGGTAGAGCAAGGAAATGAACCCAGATAATCAGCAAGTGCCCTAATCGCTAGCCTGTCCTTCCTTTCTAAAGCCATTTAAAGTCAAGGCTTTTAGAAACACAAAGGCAGCAGGTACTCCTGTATGTCTCCCCTCAGACTTCAGATTAGTGCAATGTCCCTTTCAGAGAAATTCCAGGCCCCAGGACAGGATAGCAAATCTCCACTTACTCAGCACAAGATAGGCTGGCTCCATAGGCCAAGATGGCTCCAAAGCGGATATGACCGTCAGCCCAATGGTCTCTACATCACCATTTTCAGGTAGTGCGATTCTTTTAGCTTTTATGCCCCCCTGACTGGCCTACTTCACTATGTGCTTTCTAAATTATTAAACTAGCTCCAGTGAGGGACACTATTAGAGGTATTTGTAAAACAAATACATAGGATTTTGTTATTTGACAGATGCTTCCAGGTTACCTCTAAGGAGCCAGTGCAATGCCGAACCAAATTGTTTTGTAGTGACTGACTCTAGGGATTCACAATCCATGTTGTCCTATTTGTTCTCAGGGTGTGTGAATACATCAGCACTCTAGAGCACACCCATTTCAGCGATGGCGCATCTCAGCCCCCTCTCACTATAACCCAATCGCAGCAGGCCACAGCCGGGCTGCAAGTGGATTATCCGTCTGCACACTCTTCCAAGGAACTGACACCCGAGAAGGACACCACGCTGAGCAACAATCCCGTCATCCAGCCCGTCTCCATTCAAGACCTCATCAAGGAGAGTACCAAAGGCAGAGGCTTCGACTTTCGCGGAGGTAGCCTGTTAAGTGGAAGCAATGCCGCCAAGGCTGTCCTCACCCTCTCCACTCAGGCTGACAGGTAGGATTGCAATGTCTGAAACCTGGTTTGGTCTTCTTAAAATCTCTCCTGAGCCATCTTCTGAAATAAAGGGAACAGGCTGTCAGACGTGGACCATACAGACATTCATGCCATTTGCTTAGCAGCCAATGCTAGGGTTGAGGTAAGAGTGACATTTCCATTAGCACATACTATTTTCACATTCAACATGCAAAAAAAAAATCTCATTTTTGCTGAATTTTTCGATGCTTGTCTCCACCCACAAGAGGAACATATATTTGAACCTCTTAACCTCTTTAACCTGGCCAGGGGCAGATGACCATTTTGCGGGGCCCCGGGCAGCATAATTCCGCGGGGCCCCCCCTTTGCCACGGCGCATGCGCGGGGCTTTTTGAAGCGCAGGGCCCGGGGCGGCCGGACGTTCGCCCTGCCCTATATCTGCCCCTGAATCTGGCAACCCTGGTAAACAGGATATGACAGACTAAAGAATTTTCTGGGCCAGGCAGGGTGCTGTGGGGTCTGGGCATGAGGAGTGTGATGCTGACCTGGCACCCTGCTCCCAGGGGTACTTGTGGCGCCACAAACCTCTCCCCCACACTGTTATGGGAGTAGCGGAGGAAAGCCTCAGGAGAAGTGCATCACTGCACTGTCATTCCCTTGCCAGGGTCCATACCACAGGTGTTTCCAGATCAGGGTCACCCAGAGTATGGAGGTTCAAGTATATTTGTAAATTATGGGCAAAAATTAGTTAATGCCTGAAGTGTGTTTTCATACGCTGCATCATCTTTATTTCATTTAGAATTGCAACAGCATGCACAGGACAACAGAATAATACAAATACTTAATAGAGATCTTAGTTATGTACATGTGATTTTCATAATGTATCCTGTGGCGAGCGTAGTGAGTGGGGGGCACAGCCCCCTAGTATCTATAGCGATATACTATTATAAAAGGAGAGGGGTTCATCACAGAAAAGATTTGGAAGAATTGCAAAGCCTGGGTTTTCCAATGGTCTAATGGATAAGGCATCAGCCTCCAGAATTTGGGATTTTGAGTTTGAGTCCTGGCCCAGGAGCAGCTGCCTCCAGTTTCCCCAGGGCTACAGCTGGCACTAAGGGTAGGGAGGTGGGTTATCAGTTTTCTCAGTGCTGGAGCCAGCAGGGGTGAGCAGCTGGCTCTGGAGCCATGGAGCTGTTTGCTCTGGCTGCAGGGAGCAGAGCCGTGAATGGCCCAAGTTGCGGGGGCTGCACATGCTAGAGGAGCTGTTCCAGATCTGCTGTGTGGAGAGCAGCCCTGCCAGAAATTACAGAGGTCGTGGAAAGTCATGGAATCCGTGACTTCTCTGACCTCCATGAGAAACACGCAGCCTTATTCATAGTAAGATTAATTCACTTGTATTGCTTGTGTATAACTTGCTCCTCAGATGGGTCAAATTAGGGATGTAATTGTGTAGTTGATTAACTAATAAGCAAAATCTTATTAATGCTATAGACCAGCTGTAGACCATCGTTTCCCAAACTATGGGCCACCGCCTGATACCAGGCCACGGGAAAAAAATACCGGGCCTCAGTGTGGCTGCTGGGAGGGGAGCAGAGCAGGACGGGCTGGGAGGAGGGGTGTGTGGAGGAAACTGGTCACCGGGAAGCAGGGTTGGGGGCAGCAGGGCTGGTCCCGCTTTACGCCTCAGTCTTTACGCCTCCATCTAAACAAAGACATTAATTATCTTACCCATTACAAAGATAGCCTCCCCAATTATCACCTCTAATACCATTAGCTCACAGACATTTACCTCCTCCTCTCATCCCCCTTCTGTTCTGAAATGTGATTTGTCCTCTTCATATGTGTTCATTTTTTTGATTGTATCCTTTGGTATATATGGTTGTGCCAATTTTCTTCCACAAATGGATCTGAGAAAGTGGGTCTAGCCCATGAAAGCTCATCACCTAATAAACCATCTTGTTAGTCTTTAAAGTGCTACATAGTCCTGTTTTTTTGTTTCAGCTACACCAGACTAGCATGGCTACATTTCTATCACTAGAAAATACCAAACATTTTAAATGTCTGATAATTTCTCAATTTGTTTCCCGGACAAAACCCTCAAATACTGGAATGTCCGGTACAAAACCGGACACCTGGCAACCCTTCCCCTCCTTGCACCCTCCCTCCTAGCCAGATACCCTACCCCCAATCTGCTCCTGCTCCCACCTCCTGCAGTGTCCATGCGGTGCCAGGTCCCCCAAGCCCTGGCTCAGGCTGGGCGGAGGATGCAGCCAGGTGAAACACTGAAAATTTATTCATTTTTTTATATGCTTTTATCAGAGGCAGCAGCACAGGGCGACAGGCGGACTGGCTCCCCTCGTGGACCAGCATCTGCTTGGCACCCTGTGATATAGAGGCAGCAGCGTGAAGTGTTAGGGGGCTCCATGGGAGTGAGCACTGGCTGCCAGCCCTGCCCCCTCCCTCGGGACTATAGAATAGTTGACTGACTGCTAAGAATTCTTGAGGTTACTCAGCTATTCAGATAACCAATATTTAACATCCCTTGTACAAATCGGTACAACTCTGAAGTAAATGGAACTATGTCAGTTCACATCTGCTGAATATTGGCCCATGTCATATTTTAGCTTAGCCATTGGATCGATTGTTGCATGAAGCCACTAGCTGTACTTCAAATTAAAAATGGTCTATGCTGCAGTTAGAGCCCCAGAAAGAGTTCTGATTAATTATAGAGGCCCCTGCTTTTCCTTACTCCAAAAATAATAAAACTGATGAATCAAAATGAAGTTGGTAACACTATCTAAATTATTAAACTTTCAGTAACCTAATCTGCTACTAACAGCCTGCAGCTGGCAGGCAGCAGCTGTATGTAGGTGGGGTTCTTCAGTGCACATAGATACTTTAACCTCCAGTTGTATTCTCTGCATTGTTGCTTACAGGCTATTTGAAGATGCTGCTGACAAGCTAAACCTGATGGCACTGGGTGGCTTCCTATACCAGCTCAAAAAAGCTTCTCAGTCCCAGCTCTTTCATTCAGTCACAGATACAGTGGATTATTCCTTAGCAATGCCAGGTAAATCTGTTAAAGCCCTCTTATGGGTTCAGGTGTTTCTTGTATGTTTTCTGCATTTCCTACATGATTTTCTGAGTGTTTGCTTTGCTGCTATATGCCCAGGACAGATAGCTTAAAGGCAACAGTAAAATACAAAGTTCAGTGAAAGATCCCTCTGTAGGGGTACATCTACACTACAGCATTAATTTGAGTTAATTTAATTCGAAATAGTTAATTCGAATTAGCTTAATTCAAATTAACGCATCTACACACAAAACCTATTTCAAAATAGCATGTCCACACTGAGTAGACCCTGAACTGAAGTTAAGGTTGGCCGGAATCAGTACCAGCAGGGCATCAGGTTAGGACTTAGCCTCAGGCAGCAACCCCACGCACTAACTGAACTCCCTGCTTAAAGGGACCCTACCCCCACCCCGGACAGACAGTTCTCAAGGTTCCCCACTTGCTTGTCTACCTTGATGAGGGATAACAAAGCAGTCCTGTCTTGGAGTGTCCACACTCGGGACACCACAGCACGTGGCCACATGGAGCCAGAGCTGCCCCTGGGCATGCCAGTGCATCTTGTGGGGTCGTTGCTGCAGGCTGCCATCCAGGGGGGTCCATCAGGGGGCTGTCAGGATCCAGGAGGCCCTGAGGGAGAGAGCGTCCACCCCGAGGAGCACTCAGATCCACTCCGGTCCTCCCCACCGGGGGCTCATAGTCCGTTCCTCCCTCACGTCCTTCCACTTACCCCTCCCTATCCCCCCTTCCTGATGTCAAACAAAAGACCCGTATGTTCAAAAATAGAAACTGGGTTTATTGAACAAAACTGGGGGGCAGAGAATGAACCTCTGGGGAGACTGGGAAAAGGAGGTGGGAGAGGGGAAGGGGGAAGCTCAGGGCCTAGGGTTGGGGATCTCACTGGACCAACTTGATTTTCATGCAGACCTGCTCCTGGGTTCTCATGTGGCCTTTGGTGGCCAGGCTGGCAGCTATCCTGCCATAGACAGCCGCATTCCTCCATCTAGTGCGGAGATCATGGAGGTTGGGGGCATCCCTTACTCCCAAAACCAGAATAAGGTCCATGATCTCCACCCTGAACCAGGAAGGTGCCCCCCTTCTCCAGCCCGTCAGGCTCCTGGGAGCTGGCAGACTGCTCCTGGGGAGCGGCAGATGGCTGGCTGCCAGTGGCTTGCTGGCTCATGTTTTGGAGTCACTGGGTCGGGGGCCCGGTGGCCACTGCTGGCTCTGGGTTGGCAGGCTTGGATCTGGTACAGGCACTGTGACCAGGGTCTACCCCTTTAATGGCTCCGGGGCTGGGGGAAAGGAGAGTAAGTTTTCCTGGTTGTGCCCAGAGTGGCCACCAGGGTTCCCTGGGAAGGCTGAAGGCCTCCTATCTTGAATTAAGTGTCTACACAGCACTTAATTCAAAATAGCTATTTAGAATTTGGCATTACTCCTCGTAGAATGAGGTTTACCAAATTCAAATTAAGCACTCCGCTATTTCGAAATTTGCATGTATATATGCTATTAATGTTAATTCGAAATAACGGCTGTCATTTCAAATTAACTTTGCAGTGTAGACATAGGGGAATTGCAAAGTATTTTAAAAAGATATCTACAGTCCCTGGCCAAGAGAGCTTTAAATTCAGCACCTAATAGGGTACTAATCCTGACTCACAGCTGGGTGCTTCTATAATATAAGCATTTATTATTATTATTTTATTTATTAATACATACCATTTAAATCCTTTAATTCCAAATTAATAACATCTATGGCTAAAGAGGAGACCTAGATTTTGCATGTAGGTTACATGTCACTAGTGGCAAGTCTACACAGGGGAGTTATTTGGAAATAAAGGGCTTATTTGGAAGAAGAATAAGCTTATTTCGAAATGGTTATTTTGGGGGTTATTTTGAAATAAGCTGGTAATATAGACATAGCATAAGTGGGTAGACATAGCAATACACTGCTACTAGATTCCAGACAGTGCACCCAACAGAAATTCTCAAGATAAAGCAGAGCGGATAGTCTCCAGGTTTCTCCTGCCGTGTGAAAGCCACCCCCTTGTAGCACAAGGGCAGTGTAATATGTAATTCTCCATAGCTCTTCAGACTGGGCATAAGGACCTGATCAAAAAGAACATTTTCCATTGACCCAAAGAACTTTGGACCAAGATATAAATGAGGCTTGAGGAGTACACAAGATTAGCGCTGCTGCTAAGTGAAGAGTTTTTTGCTCTCCGTGAATTCAGATTGATTTTTGCACTACTTTGCATTATTCCAGAATGACATTCAATTTGTTATTTTCCACTCATATCTTTTCTCTCTGACTCAACAGCATGTATTACTTTATTATTAATGAATGGTCTCTCTGTGATTTGTACATAGTGTTCCATCAACAACTGTTAGATTCACACCATTAATAGTAGTGCACACAGCTGCTTAAATATTTGTTTTGTGTGTCAAAAAGAGGTAAGCTTCCTAATTATGGTCTCCATTAGAGATAAAAGCAGAGGCATCCTTATGAATTTATCAATTATATGAATTTCCCAGCATTTTGAGAGCAGTGGGAGATTAAATTAGAGTTACGATGGATTTCAAAGTGTTAGGGAATTAAGAATTTGTATTGGCTGTTGAGAAATTAAGAAGGTTTTAAAGTTCTCTTTATCCTGTGTTCTTTAGCTCTGTAAAGACAATTTACAACCTCCCACTACCATGAAAATAAAGAAACTACAGTTAACTCTTTTCCCTGTAAATGTTACCAAAAGATTCTAAAGCCAACTCATCATACTAAGGATGAATCATAAACCACTTGCCCATCTAGACTGAATGTTCACCAGAATGCAACCTTTATCATTGATTTATTATTTTATATTTTCCCCAAGTGATTACACCTTAAAAATGCATTTGAAAAAATACACATTGTGAAGTAGTGAGACCATACCTAAACTACATAGCCGTGTAAGCCATTCCTACAGAATAGATCCTTTTTCAGTTTATTCCTGTGCTTTTGCAAGTACAGACTGCTTGCTATGCTGAATTTCTTTCTGGACCCATTTTAATATGTACGGAATTTAAATCAAATACTTTGTGACCAGACTTGAATTTCAACTGAGACCTGTGGAGATGAAATGCTAGAGATCCCTAATTCCTGTTCATTGTCCTTCTGCTCATAACAATTTTCACATTCATTTTCTTAATGCACCTTATTTTTCTTGTAGGTGAAGTAAAGTCTACCCAGGACAGGAGAAGTGCACTCCATTTATTTCGTCTTGGGGATGCCATGCTCAGGATTGTACGGAGTAAATCCCGCCCATTGCTCCATCTCATGCGTTGCTGGAGTCTGGTAGCACCTCATCTAGTAGAGGTAAGAGAGAGAGAAGAACCTGTCGAACAAAAGGTATTGTAAACGCACCTCACTTAGAGATTTAAAAAAAAAATCAAACTTTGACTAATGCAGAATATCTGCAGTTACACTAGACATAACAACATCTTAAAGACTATTAATCTTCTTTTATCTAGAGTCAGGAATACATACTCACCCCTTCTTGTGGTACAGTATTGCACAGCTAGAGAGGTACATTGTGAGCACTTTCAGGCCTACTTCTCAAACATCTAATAATGTCTAAATTCAAAAACATAATTCCAGGGCAAGACATTTAGTGTGTTTCAACATGGCAATTCCTGTGGAAACTAGCTGTGCCTACACTAATTGAAAACCATTTTAATAGAGCTAGGTTTCTTGGGTTTATGTCATGCATGTGAACAAGTATTTGTACCTGAGCTTTCTTTATGTTGTTAATTACATTTGTCATCATGCATTGAGTTTTAAGGTGTACAAGAAGTACGTATCTCAGGAGTTTAAGATCTAGGATAAATAAAATACTTGGTCGGGTGTTAAGGCGTGTTGAAAATGTCCACAGTGGTATGTTTTGACTGTACAAATGGTCTACATTCTCAAAATAATTAGTGATTTTTGGATGCCCAGCATGAGATGTGTTAAAGGAGCCCAAGCCCTTGCCTTCTGGAATCAGTCCCCTTTAAAATGTCTCAGTTTGGGCATCTAAAAAAGGAGGCTCCCAAAATCACCTGTCACTTTCAAAATGTTGGGCATACCAAAAGTTCTCTTTTGGTGAATTTTGGCATAGGGGAAAGCATAAGGAGGAAGAGGCTGGTTGGAGTATAGGGACTGAGCAAAGAGATGCTTGGGTAGTCCCCCAGTGAGGAATAACTTTGTCCAGATTCACTCCAGCCCCACATTTGGAATAGCTCTTGCCAGCTGAGCAGTGTCCTGTTGAGAGCATTCCATTTCTTGTTTAATGTACTTTATTGCTAGTTATTTTTATTGTGCCATAGGTAGCCAGTGCCAAAGAGATAACGGTTCCCTTTCCTAAGTGTCTAAGAACATACTAAATATAGTACTTATCCATAAATAGACTTTTAAGAGAACAGTACATTTATACAATGAAATGTGAGAGATGCAATTTCCCCTCAATGTTAGCCATTGAACGCAACAGTAATCTGAAAAAGCATGGTTGATTGTAGACTTTTTTTTTAACTCAATAAATCTTCCCGCATCTTCTAACTATTGAGCATCTACAATACATAACCACTTATTTTCCACTGGATGGTTACTGTGTTCATTCAGGCAGGACTCTCTGGAGCTATTTTTGGAGGTTGGCACAATCAAGTTGCTACTTGTGTGTCCCGGCCAAAATTCTGGTATTTTTTCCTTCATTCCTTTCTCTCTGTAGGCCGCCTGTCATAAAGAGAGACATGTTTCTCGGAAGGCTGTCTCCTTCATCCATGATATCCTCACCGAGGTGCTGACAGACTGGAATGAGCCACCCCATTTTCACTTCAATGAGGCGCTGTTCCGTCCATTTGAGCGTATCATGCAGCTGGAGCTGTGTGATGAGGATGTCCAGGATCAGGCAAGTCAACCCTCATGATGGTGTCTGCATCCTGCATGTCATACAGGCAACAAGGGATGTCTCAATTGTACATGTAGTGGCTACCATATCTGCCCATTTTCCTTTCATAGGATGCTTCTGAAACCCTGTATACAGCTTTCTCCCTAGCTAGAGCACCAATACAAGATTTAATAGACCAACCACAATTATTTTTGTAATAAGCATCTTATGGAAAGCTGCCTCATCATTGTCACCCAGTTCAATACAGTGACTTTTCTACAATGCAGTAGATTGTGGAGCAATAATTTGTTCTGTTCCTTTATCAGGACTCACCTCAGATTCAAATTACTTCTTTTATTAGGTAAGTATACTCCATGCATTAGAGCCAGATCTTCCAAGAGGGGGCACATGAAATAGCAGCCAGGAAGCAGTAGGCTTTGGGACTATGTAGTTGGTGATTCAGCTGTTTTTTCCTTATTGCAGGAAAGTGATTATTCAACTTCCAGCCCTTTAGATTTTAACGAAAAGTAACATTTTCTGGAAGAAAAAAAATAGATCTACTTTTTTTTTTTTTTTTTTTTTTTGGTTACTTCTGTTGGTGTTTGTCGGATAATTTCTGTTAGTTGTTCCTTCCCCCTGTTCGACTGGCTGGATTTATTGTTTGAAAGTTTTCTCTGCTTTGCCTACACTAGGTGATCACATCCATAGGAGAGCTGGTGGAGGTGTGTTCCATTCAGATCCAGTCTGGGTGGAGGCCCTTGTTCAGTGCACTGGAAACAGTCCACAGCAGTAGCAAGTCTGAGCTGAAGGAGTACCTTGTTGGAGAGTATTCTATGGGTACGAGTTTTCTCTATTGCTTGTTTGATGTGTTTCTTCATCCCATTATCTCTGAGCGAGGAAGGGAGAATGTTAAGGCCATTCAGCAGTCTGGCCGAGCCACGTTGTGCTGCTGGACCATTGATCCATCAGGTTGCTCTGTGGGTGTCCTGTGGCAGGAAAGAAAGAGGCTCCTTATCAGGCCTGCCAGAAGGAGGTGGAGGTGGTGCAAAGAGGACAAGTACCCTGGGATCTAGTAATTCACAAGGTTTAGCGACCACGGCTGCCTTTAAATCACTGCCAGAACCCTGCACAGAGCACTCCAGGTAGTGCTAAAGGGCTGGTGAGAGGCAAGCTCAGCCCTACCCCTTCTACCTGAGGCCCTGCCCCTTCCAATAGCACAGAGCCTGCCCACACCCCACACACACCTGACCCAGGAGACTGGAAATTCTGTTGACTTCCTATGCCTTATGGCCATTTCTTGTCTATGCACCCGAGCCAGGCAGCCTGCATTTTGCCCACAATGTGAAACAGGTGCTTCTGTAAGAGAGGGCTTGTTAGCACTAGAGGTGCTGGGCAGCTGATGAGCAAGGTTCATCTCACGTAGCACTAACACATAATCCGTAGAGTCAAATCTGTAACAGTCTTGCCACATCAGTCCCGTGTCTCTCCTGAACACAGCAGGTCAATTTTATGGAACATGTATGGGGAAATGTCCATTCTATATTTTATCAACTTAGCAGGTACTTTAAAATGTTTTAAAAGTCAGATCTAGGTAAGTATGTGCCTGCTGGAATCTAGTCTTTCAGATCCATTGTATACTTTAGGCAGGCGTTGAAAGGCTTATTATCAACTCAAGAAAACAGACCAATTTTGCTTCTGTCAAGAGTCAAGCTTGTAGATGTGACAGCCACCTTGGCAGCCAGTAACAGTGAGAACTGAACCAGAGCTAAAAGCATGAAGTGCTACAACCTGAGCTAGAAAGAGAAATCTCTGTAGCTGGGGCAGATCTGTTCTGGGATCAATTTGGGGAAGTTCTTTGGCCTGCGTCATATAGGAGGTCAGACTAGAGCAGGGGCTGGCAAAATATAGTTTACGGCTGGATCCAGCCCCCCAAACCACCAGATCCAGTCCACTAGCCTCCTCTGGACACACCCCTGCACCCAACTAAGAGCAGCCAGCTGCTGGGGCCAGCACATGCATCTCTGCGCACCACAAGCAGTAGGGGAGGGGAGCCTATACGCACTGCCCCCACCCCAGAACAATCTTGCAGCTCCCATTGACTGGAAACCAGCCAATGGGAGCTGCCTGGACTGTGTTTGCAGCACAGGCACTGTGCAAAGTATCCACTCCCCTCAGAGAGCACATGCGCTGCCCCTTCCCCCAACTGGCTGTTTTGAGGGGCATGCAGGGGTGTCAAAGGCAAGGAGCCTTCCTGAGGGCTCCCACTGGGCTGCAGGCTGGGAGCCACCTAGGTAAGCATCTCCCAACCAGAGCTTGCACCTGTCACCCCAACCCCTTCTTCACCCAACCATCAGTTCTCCCTCCCGTACCCTGGCTCCAAGTCAAAGCCCTACCCTCTGTACCCCTGCTCTGGTACCCATACCCCATCCTGTACCCCAACTACCTACCTCAGGTCACAACCCAAACCCCTGCACCCTCTTTCACCCTTGCCACAGGTCACAATCCCCTCCCAGATCCTGCATCCCCTCCTCCAGGTCAGAATCCTCTCCTGCACCCATGACCCCTCCTGGACTTTGCACCCTCTCCTGCACCTTAATCCCCTGTCCCAGATCACAACCCCTACTTCACCCAAATTTCCTACATCCTATTCTGCACCACAATCCCGGACCTCTAGCTCCCTGATCACCCTAATCTCCTGTCCCAGATCCCACCCCTCCTCAATTAACATCATGGAAGAGTGCAGCCCTTGACCACTTACCAAATTCTTGGAGTGGCCCCCATAAAAAATTGTTGGGCTAGAGGTTCACAGTGGTGCCCTCTGGCCTTGGAATCTTTGAAACTATGACTCTTATTCTCTACTGATTAGGTACAGAGGGGAACCTGTAAATCACTCTCCAGTGGGTTGAGAGAACACCCTCAGGTAGCTAGTCCCTTAGGAGCAAGAGGAAAAGGAAAGTAGATGCAGCTTCCAAGGCGGTCACAACATTTGCCTGTCAGAAAGTTGCCTATCTATCACAGGAGTGTGATGGCACATTCAGCTGAACTATCATAATAAGAAAACACAGGGAACCTCACCCTAATTTTTTTTTTTTTTTTTTTTAAAGTAACCATCTTCACATCCTATTGTTCTCATAGGGAAATGCCAGGCTCCAGTTTTTGACGTCTTTGAAGCATTTCTCAACACAGACAACATCCAGGTCTTTGCCAATGCCGCCACTAGTTACATTATGTGCCTTATGAAGTTTGTCAAAGGATTAGGTAAATATGATTTTTCCTTTTATGTCATTAAGCACAACCTTTCTCTTGTGGGGGTGGGTTTTTTATTCTGGAAGAGGTGAGTTGTTTATTATAAGGTAACGAGTATACTCGGAGAAAGATTTCACAGATGGTAAGATGGGGATACTGTATAAAAGGATTATTCAGAAACATTTTTGTTGCTGTTGGATTTTAGGGTATGTCACAGCAACAAAGATTGAGCAATCTAATTATTTTTACTATGACTTCCCATACCCATATACTGTAAATACTACAAAATTCTATAGCAATAGTCCAGAACTCTGCAGTCACAGTATTGTAATATTAGGGGACGGGATTGGATTAGCACAAAGAGCGCTGTAGCATTTTTTTTCCTAAGGGCAGTTTTCCATTCAGTGATCAAAGCCACTTTTTTTCCCCCCCCCAGTCCCTTAGCAGTAGCATTTGGCACAGAAGCTGCCAAAAATCTGCTGGAACATTCTATAAGGACATGAGTATCTCAGGTAATAGCAATCTGTCAGCAAGATTAACTTATTTCTGGTAGTGAGGTCAGAGTAAGTGGGAGAGAAGATAGGGTATGACAAGTCAAGGTGACCTTGTACTGTAATCCATAATGTTTGTATACATTTCAGAACAAAGGCAAATTCTGGTGGGTCGTTCTGCCCTCTTATTCACATTTCCCTCCTTGGCTTTGATCAAGAAACAATTGTCAGTAATTCTGAGAAACTATGGAATTTATTCTCCTCCTACTACTAATATAAATAGCAACATGCCAGGGAAAACTGACTGGAGCCCTACTTTCTTTTGTTTAATTCATCCTTTAATTCATAAATGATGCAGCAATTTTGTGCCTCGTCCTACCCTCTGAAGTCAATGGGTGTCTTAGCGCTGATTTCAGTGGACACAGGACCTAGCCTTTGAAGAGGGGGACATGGTAATTATTTACTCCTTTATGGAAAACATTAAAATTGTATGCCAAGAACAAAAGAAGAAATTGTAAACACTGAACCAGTTACAGATTTTTCTTTTGATAGTTTAGAAAGAATGTTTTCCATTTGTTGAGATGGATTTATCAAAAGGGAAAGAAATGGATATTTGTCTGTAAAATTGTAATGAACAAATGGAATTCCTACTCTGAATCTAATTATATATATAATATTTACCTACTAGCATACTTAACCGGCATTGCCCGAGTGCTTCAGGGCAGGGTATTGGGGATGAGGGAAGTGGTTTTGGGACGGGAGCTATTTACTCGTGTGCTGGCAAGCAAGATTGTGGAGCCCCAGCTTTGCTGGTCACTTGGTTGGTGGAATGGCTGCCCTCCTCTCCCCCGTTCCCCCTGCAGTCTCACTGGCCCCAGTGGACACTTTTATATCGTGTCCCTTCAAAAGCAGCCTCTCCCTTTGCATGTTATGGAAAACTCTCCTTTTCCCAGAGCTTCCAGTTCTCCTGGCACAACCACACCCTGATTTTTGCTTTGTTATAAGAGGAATTTGCATACCAAATTTGGTGGCCCTAGCTCTTGCCATTTCAGAAAAGTTCTTGAACACACAGACAGATGCTCTCTAAAATATACTCAGTAACAAAAGAAAGGATATTTAAGCATCAGGGATTTATTCCAAAGATTACCAAAATCAACAGCTGTCTCCCCACAGTCTGCAATAGGCTTAGAATAAAGGCCCTAGATCTTGTGCAACTACAGTACAGTGCTTATGACTTGTGAGGAACTATATTTTTAAGAATAAAAGAAGATAGGTCTGCTAATGTGTTTTCATGGTTGGAAAACACCTGTGACTGGCAGTAGGCACTGAAAAGTTGAAATAAAATTATCTAAAATTTTTTGAACAAAAAACAAATTTCTCCCATTATCCTATTAACAAATCTACCTTCAGAGAGTAACTGCTAAGTTAGTGAGATACAGTGGGCCAAATGTGTTCCTGGCATTACTTCAGTGCAGTTATACCAGGTTTGAATTTGTACCTGCATGAATCAAAGATTTGTCATGACCCTTTAAACACTGTGATCACACTTTATATTAAAATTACATGTACAAATAGTTCTTGAATGAGAAAAAGATACTATGATGTGTGTTGTGTGTGTTACATACAAATATAAACTCTGGTTATGACATGAGTAACCTATTGGATCGATAACCATCTGTAAAAATATTCATTATCCTTTAACAACACTATACTACAAAGTATTTGCATATGTACTCAACATAAAGTGTTACCACCATTTATTATGTTCTTGGATGGCAGAAGTGTCCCCAAACTCTTTAGCCTGAGGTCTAAGGGCTGCATTTATGGAATGTGTTGTCAATAGCACATGTTAGCCGGATTGAATGAAAAAATGTGTGTTGCATAAAACTTTCACTTCTGTGTTTACATTTACTTTGGGGATGGGGGTCCCTTCTCCTTCCCCCTGTCTTTCAACTCCTAGGAGAAGTGGATTGTAAGGAGATTGGTGATTGTGTGTCAGGATCTACATCTACGGACTTGTGCCTTCCCGCTCTTGATTACCTCAGGAGGTGTTCACAGGTATGCTACTGATCACAGAGAGTTACAGACCTGAACTAGAAAATCACTTCTAGTTGGCTTTGTTTTTTAATTCATGGCAGTCATTTGGAAATGTTTGTCATTTTTTGTCTGCACATGGTAGAATATTTTATATGTACAACTTCTGTGGCAAGTTTAACGTTAATATCCTACACTGCCATCATGGAGGCAAAGGGTTAGTTCTTTATTGGGGTTTCTTACTCTCTTGGCCAGCTGAAGTGGGCATAGCTCAGGATATGGTAGACTCAGTCCTGAGAGAGAAAAATGGACTGTATACTCTGTGAATGAACAAGATGTGATACTGGCATGTTCAAAGGTGAAGCCAACAACACTGGGATTTGGGGGAGTGGAAAGATTTCAGAGAGGGGGGGGAAAAAAAGAATCCTCAGATCTCTAGCAATGTGATAGACTCAGCCTGCTGAAATAGGTCAGCAGCCTCGCTGTCCCATAACACCATATCTAAAGGCAAGGGCAGAGTTCTAAGAAGTCAGAACACCAGCATATTTTATATGCAATGTTGTTGTAGCCACGTCGGTCTACGTGACAAGATGTATGAGGTAATGTCTTTTATTGAACTGATTTCTGCTGGAAATAGAGACAAACTTTCAAGCTACACAGAGATGTTCTTCAGGTCTGGAGAAGGCAAGTAGTGTCACAGCTAAATACAAGGTCCAACAGTTAAATATGTGACAACTTGTTATGCTAAACTATGGGATCATTCAAGGTGAAGAGGCCCATTAATAACCTATAGTCATAGGGCAAAAAGAAGGGCTAGAGAATTACAGCTTGTTGTAATGAATCATACATCCAGTGCCTTTATTAAGACCATGATTTTTACATATTTTGTATAACCTCCCTGCATAGGTTTCTGTTCAGGGCTGTTGGACATTTTTTGTCTGCACTTTGATATTTTTATTTTTACCACAGTAGCACATGAGGGTCTTAGTCATGGACTGGGGTCCCATTGTGCTGCATAGCAGTGTCCTTACCCCCAAAGCAATTAAATTCAACTATAAGATGAGAGACAACAAATAGATGCCGCAGAAAAGGGAATAGGCACAAGGAAATAACGAGACAGTGCTGGTCAGCAAGGCAAGCAGCAGTCACGACAAATTGTAACTATTATTGTTAACATTCTGTGATAGCCCTAAGCATTGGTTTATGGCAAAATCTGCAACATCACATTTTATCTTTCTCCTCACCACAGAGAAAGGGAGCCTATTTGTTTCTTTTCTTCTGATTTGTTTTATTGATCTTATCAAAAAAGGAAGAGTAAAATATGTAATAGATACATTGCAAATACTTGTATTATATTAAAAAATGCCTCGGAAACACAGTACATGTCTTCTCTCTGCTCACAAATTGAAATTTGGGCCCCAGTTCTACCTTGCTCAAAGCAGTATCTTCCCTGATGAAAATGTTGGGAGGCTGCTGCCTCCTAATTCAAGAAATGCTGTATCATTTATAGGGATTGGTGTAACATGGAGTGGAAATGTTAGTGGCACAACACTGCTATGCTGTATTCAGTTCTGGAGCAAAAGGGACCATTTTGAATACTACCTTGAATTTTAATCCTGTCAGTTCATATTATTAGCAGCCACCCACTCAAATACGTCTGTTACTTACACACCAGTACTTTGACACTAGAAAATATGGAATCCCAGCTTTCAGAACAGAGAAAGCACTAAAATTATCACTGGTGATATGATGTTGCAAATTTCATTCCTCTTAAACAACGTGTACAGGTTTGCCAGCTACAATCAACCTTTACTGGGCTAGTGATCAGAAAAAAAAAACCCAAAAAAACCGATCTTCCAAAATATTCTGCAGATAGGTGGATTGCTGGTAGATGATGATAATGTTTAGTATTAATAAACTGCTTTAAATCTTCAAAGTACCCTGTCCAACTAACCCTCACACAATACTCATGCCGGATCAGTAATATTTTAATTTCACAGCTTGGGGAATTGACACCCAAGTTATTTCAATGACTTGTCCAAGGACAGAGGAAATTACCAGTAGGAGGAGCTCTTGATCCCTAATCCTGTGTTCAGTGCCCTAGGCTAAGCTTCCACAGACGGACCCAAATATCCAGCCCAAATACTGTTACTCCAATACTTATTTTCCCCATTTGTGACATAAAATGGGAAAGTGTTATGTTCTGTTTTCTCCTCCTTCAGTTGCTAGCCAAAATCTACAAAATGCCCTTGAAGCCAATTTTTCTCAGTGGCCGGCTGGCCAACCTGCCCCGAAGAGTCCAGGAGCACTCAGCCAGCAGCGAGGATGGCATTGAGTGTGTCCTTTCTGACTTTGAGGATGACACTGGTAGGTGAATTTAAAATAATGGCTGGTGTGTAATTGTGCTGACACTCAGGAGTTAATCAGTTCCATGCTGCTGCAAATGTCACCCTGCGTTTATAGTGTTAACATATCCACATATGTTGCAAGTTAAGCTCTGTTGTGCTGGTTTCTCTCAGTGGGGAGAACCTGTGCCCCACCTAGCTCTCTCCTCCCATGCATACACAAGTGATTTCACCTCATTTATACTCTGTGATGTTCTGCATACCTAAGAGACCCACACTCTTATGGGGTGAGGCGATCAAGTAATACCGATGACAGCCTGATAACCCTGACCCTTCCATCCACTAACTGGGTATGAAGGGAGAAAGAAAATGAAAGAAGGGAGAGAGGAGCAGATATTCAAAACAGGCAACGTTCCCTCACTATCACGCACACCAACTGTATTGCGATGGGTAGAGAATAAAGACTAGGAATCCATTATCTAGCTCACAAGAGATTTTTTTTTTTCCTTCCACTCTCCGGCATTCTATAATCAACCACAGCCTGTGAGCAAACCTGTAAATGCTTTATAAATAGCATCTAGTCTGTTTCCTCGCTTCTCATTATGTATGTCTATTTCTAGGTCTTATCAATGTCTGGATCATTCTACTGGAAGAATTAACTACTGCTATATCCAACTGTCCCCGCCAGCACCAGCCACCCACCCTGGATTTACTTTTTGAACTGCTGAGAGATATTGCCAAAGTTCCTGGTAATTTCAGTGACTTTATAGAACATCTGCTACTGAAACACAAGAAAATCCTTGTTAAACTAGAAAGGACTGTGAAGATAGTTTGCTTAGCTTCTCTAGAGGGGAGATATTGTCCATGCGGTGTTCATTAGTAACTTCTCAGCTAGGTTAAAGATCACATGGACTGGCTCCCAGGGGAGCCTCATCAAAAAGATGATAGACTTTGCATAGGGGAGGGGAAAGGGATAACTGTGGTAATTGTGAGGTAGCTTTTGACATGTATTGACTTTCTTGTTGGTACTGTTGTCCAGTGCACATGATACTCCTTGTTCTTGACCCAACAGGGGTAGCAAGCATTTTTCCCCCCATTCCTTTGAAGGCCAAACTGATGTCATATCAATTCACAGCATATATAGGTACATTCCCACACATTCACTATTTTATCCAGAAGATATATTTCCTTAATGTTACCACTCACCCAAATCTTTCAAATGCATGTGCGCACACACTTCTGCCTATCTACCTACCTATCTCTTCATGGATAAAGTGTCTCTGAAAGCTTTTACCTTTCTGTGCTGTATCTGCTTGAAAATCTTCCATTCCTTGAAGTGCCGAACTGTTGTCTGTATGCTACTAGACACCGTTTATGCAATCCTTCTTGAATGTTCATCTAGTGTAACTGCACTGCTCAGTTTGCATTCCTTTAGTCAGAACCAGAACTGTGCATCAGACACCATAATATAGAAACATATGCCTTTACACCACAATAGATGTTTATTCATGTTTTATATTAAGAACACACAAATAATTGACTTGAAGAAGAGTAAAAAACCATAGTGGTGTCACTCATAGAAATAAAGTACTACTGTCATGCCCAATATTTATTTTATTGACTGCTGAATATCTTGCCTTTTTTGATCACTTTTCCAGAAAAATAGTTGCTTTGTCATCTTACATCTTAAAATAAACCTACATCAAATCCAAGATGACAGTTGAGTTCTTCTGTTACTCTTCAATTAATAGGTGATTTTCTATACACCTTCACGAGACCAAGGTGTATGTACTGCTGAAAACATTACTGGTTCATAGTTAAGATAACACAATTGTTTCAGATATTTTGGAAGTAATTTTCTTTAACATCACTCAATCCGTGATCTCAGTCTGGAAAGGGGTATTTGGATTTCTTAGTCTGGGCATGTATTTGATGGGTAGTTGTAGCCTGAAGGTCTTATCATGGTTGTGTTTTCCTTTCAGGCCCAGGATTTGGCATTTATGCGGTTGTACATCTTTTACTCCCCACAATGTCCCTCTGGCTCCATCGTAGCCATGGTGACCATTCTTACTGGGATGTGGCATCAGCTAATTTCAAGCATGCCATTGGCCTTTCCTGTGAACTAGTAGTAGAGCACATTCAAAGTTTCATACATTCCGGTAAGCAGTGTCCCTTCGACATCATTAATGATACACTAACCAGGCAAGGTTTTACTATATCAGATGCTTAGAAGAGGGTTTAGTTTTGATTGTTCAAGAACAAGTCAAAATCAGGGAGAGTGGGAAAGTCATTTTTACTTTAAAGAGGGTTATGTTAAACTTTCCAAAAATATAAACTTAGTTTTATATGCAATATCATAATGAACTGGAATTGGCAGACAGACACCAACACAGTCATTTTCTCAACATCAGTGGGAATATTTGACATTCCCATATACTTATCTCCTCTTAATTTGTTGTATTTTAATACTCACTGCCATTAGTGTCAAAGGGAATCAAGTATGTAAAACATCCAGATATCAAGGAGGATTGCCATTTGTGTAAATGATATTGCAAAGGTGGTAATGCTAAAACCAACTTTCTTGTCCTTTAGACATTGGCTATGAGAATATGATTAATACCATGCTAAAAGATCTCTTCAAGTTGTTGGTAGCCTGTGTGGCAGAGCCTACAGAAACAATCTCCAGAGTTGGCTGCTCGTGTATCAGGTAATACAGAAAAGCTCTTCCTCTTTTTAATATGCTGATGAGGAGAAAGTGATGCAAAAACTCCTGAATAGAGAAGTCTTGGTGGAACATGTAGATTGATCATTTTAGCCACCATTTCCATAGTAATCAATAACCTGTCTCTTGTTCTTTAAAAGCAAATTCTAGAATTAGAAATGGCTTCCAAAAGCTGAAATCAAACGTCCATCAATTAGCCAGACTCAGTTTGCTTGTTACCAAACTAAATTCCCAGTAGTCAACGGGCAGGTAGGAACATGTGGAAATGCCCAGACCCTGTCTGTATTGACTAAACATTGTCAGAGCAGAGGAGAGAGAGAGAGAGAAAGTCCATAGTTTTGGGAAATGATGTAAACACATTTCTCCAATGAAAATATTTGCTCTACACTAGTATCTACATCAGTCAATGTAAAAAATAAACCTCTAGAAAAAATAAACTGTTGTTGGCTAGAATTCACAGGTCTGCTGAGGTTAGTATTCCCTTCACATTCTGCAAATCAAACTCAAAATGTGGTTTGCAGCATTGAACAAACAAAGATGCAGTCCCTGCTCTGAAAACCTTGCCTGTTTATATAGATAAAAAGCATTCAAAAGCAATACACTGTGTATGCAAATTGGTCAGGGTAGTGATTGGCACACATCTTACTAGCTTGGTGTTGGTAAAGCAGCTGCCTAGATTTTTCTCTACCCAATTGGCTCAATTTTTACCGTCTTCCTTTTAGTCAGAAAAAGTTTTGTAAGACTTGGAGGGTTAATAACTTCTATGTTATGACTTGCAGGTATGTCCTAGTGACAGCAGGGCCTGTTTTTACTGAAGAGATGTGGAGGCTTGCATGCTGTGCATTACAGGACGCCTTTTCTGCGACTCTTGAGCCAGTAAAGGTAAAGCCAGCATTCCAATGCGTGCTAGACTGAGTATTAACCAGCCTCAAGTCACTGACATTTGCTAGATCAATAGATTCCCTTTCTGAGAAACTTTTGTGTCTTCATTTTTGGTTGGGTGAAATCAAACAGTTTGCTCATAAATCCAAAAACATAAGAAAAGTAATTTAAGATCTGTTAGCATATATATGTTTGTTAGTTACGTTAATTGAGAACTTTCACCAAACCAAATTAACAACCCTGAAAACAGAAGTGTTTGGTTTCCCCCCTCACACACACCCCCGACCCCAAAAGGACAAGTACACCATGGGCAATGGCATAGTGCTGTGATTCCTAAGACAGTGATCTAGTATTGCACCAAAGATCAGGGAGGGAAGTGACCATAGAATCATAGAACTGGAAGAGACCTCAGAAAGTCATCAAGTCCAGCCCCCTGCTCTAGGCAGGACCAATTCCAACTAAATCAACCCAGCCAGGGCTTTGTCAAGCCAAGACTTAAACACATGCTGCCCTGCCAATGTGAAATTGATAGAGTTGAACACATTTTGTCTCCATGAGGTGTCTTTATTTTCCTATTGCTTTTGTAAATCCAGCTGAAGACCTGGATACAAACAATAGCCTGAGTTTTGCTCCAAATTGAGTCCAGACTAAAATGCTTGAGTCTTTCGACTCTTTGGTTGTAACAAAAAATCATCACAGTCCAAGCTGCTTACAAGGGAATCAACAGTGCAGTTGTTCAAATAAAATGTCCATGGAGAGGGCAATTATGGGACAGATCACTCAGAACCTGGCAATGCATGTGCGCTCAGTAGGATGGAGGGCTCTACAACTACTTGGTTGATCTTACACACATTGAAAATCTGATGTTGTGTCTCTCTCTAGAACCTATTGGGCTATTTCCACAGTGGTTCTGAAAGCTTTAGTGGTGATGCCTGTGAAGTGAAGGTGGCGGCCCCATCTCTCTCTCCCAGTGCCGAAGCTGAGTACTGGAGAATCCGAGCCATGGCACAGCAGGTAATGATCTCAGTACGAGGGAAGCCAGAGAGTGACCTCCCTCCTAGAGGACAAACTGTTTACTAAAAGAATTAAACCAACATGCAAGTTGGGAATTTTCTTTCCAAAAGTTCTTAGAAAGGGCAAATAATTGTACTGTGTGAAGAGATTTTACTCGGTATCTGTGTTACTGGAGGCCCAGGGAAGCATTTCCTTCTAACTAGGCATTGTCCCGCAAGGGAGGGCAGTAAGCTTGTGAATCTCAGTACTAAATAAATACCATCTTGCTGGAGTTTGCCTTTCCTTGTCCTTGTCACTTAAGACAGTGCCCCATGAACTACTTCCCCCAGCAGCTCTTTTGTGCAATTGCAGGTAAATGTCCTTTTCCACATAGGAATAATCATTCTCCCAAAAGTAGTGGAATGACTGTAATTTTGGACACATTAAAAATAAAATTGGACAGGCCCTTAAAGGCAGAGACAATCTTGCCTGGAGAAAAAGGATGGCTTAGAAATTGATAGAAGTGACCTGTTGGTTTGTCTGTGTAATTGATTGCACATGCTGCTGCTTGGAGTGCACATTTCACAGATAATATGCAGAAGTGGGACTGATGGGAAATAACAAAGGCAACCCATGTGGAGACAGAGACTGATGGGTGATATTGGCTGTGTTTAAGTTTTTAAACACAAAGTTCAGACTAGCTCACTCCTTCTCTGGTTACACGTGTGCACATACAGTGCCTCTTCAGTGACCTCTCCGGAGATGAATTCTGCTCACTTGTGCTTTAGCATAACTGTCCCATTACAGTACAAAGCATGACAAGCCACAAGGGTTGAACTTTGGTTGACTAACCACTGGAAGTCACTGGAGGTTGGGTGCCTTTAGAAATAATCCCTCTCAGAATGCACAACCCTCAAGTGGGACACAGTAGCTATTTGAAGGAGCTGTTCTGTTCCTATATGTGTTACTCTTTCAAACAATGCAGGTGTTGAGTTACTTGTGCATAATGTGTGTGTATTGCAGGTTTTCATGTTAGACACTCAGTGCTCACCGAAGACCCCAAACAACAAGGAGGGATTTGAACATGCACAGTCCTGTGTGCTTATCATTGACCTGCCCCCTGACAAGAAACCCAATGGGCACACCCAGAAAAGGTAAGAAGCCAGCCCCATGAAAGTCTTCTGAAATAAGCAGAAGGAATAGAATGTTTTTAGCTAAGTAGTGACATGAAAGCAGTAGAGCAAATCTGTCAGTTCTTCAGTTTTGCTAAAAATATGAAATATCAGTGAATAGAATGGCACTTAGGGAAGAGCAACAGACATCAGCACGGACCCTTTTGTAAGGAAATACTGAGAGCTGGATAGTGCAACCCTCCTACTGGTGCACACACATACTTATGAGTAGGCCTATCGAAGTAAGTCAGGTTATATATGAATGTGCTCAACTTTTGTCAGGGGTCCAATTTGTTTTAATGAGATAAATACATATCGATGGCTAGATTGAAGGAAATATATAGTTTACAACTCTCTGAAAGATGTACCTGAAGAGTTATCATCTAGGGTTTTATACAAGAGTCTTCAACTTGAAGAACCAGGGCTGGAATTAGGAAAATTTAGGCAAATTGCAGGCAGATCTTCCTATCATTGAGAACTATTAGTCTGTGTAGTAGTCTCTCAAAGAAAGGTTCAATAGCCTCATCACATGGTATGTGAAAACTAGACTGGAAAAAGAATTGGCAAATCATTTATTGGGAAGTGTGTGTGTGTGTGTGTGTGTGTGTGTGTGTGAGAGAGAGAGAGAGAGAGATATGAATGGAGTTGAATTTTTCAGCAGCCAAAAATAGAAGATCCTGTTTAAGTTTTCAAAAATTTGCATTCACCATGGAGACAAATGGTTATACTGTTTTGTACATGGCCATAATATGTAGAAATTAGAACCAGAATAACTAATTTGTACCCCACAAATGTTTCTACTTTTGTTATGGTTAAAAAAAAAATTTTTGCTTGTTAAATAAAGGACCATTATATTTTTTTGGATGAAGAACAAAAAAAATGTAGGACAGTGGAACTAGTGGATCAAAGTAAGCTAACCCTAGGTTAGCAAAAGCATTGTCCAAAACTACCAGTGTTGTGCTTTATATACTAAGCTGAGGAAATGTATGTGTGGGTGGTGGTGGTTTTGTAAACACCACTCTTTCAAGTATTCAGTCAGTCTAACACTGAAAGATCTGCGAGTTATTACCTGACACTTCGCATTCTAACTTTATCACATGCACTTAGTTTGATAGTGTTCAGCAGTGTCAAAAGATAACGTCAACCCCAGTAGCATAAATGGAACGCAGTATCAGAATTGTGAATCCAGGACCTGCATTTATATGGGTGGAAATGTACTGCCAACAATGAAACATTTGGGGATGAATTCTGTGTGATAAATGGTCTGTGGCAAGTCCTTGTGTTCCTCATTCAGAGTAGTAGTCTTGCTCACAGTAAGGCACAGATCCTGATGATCCTTCTTTGGCTAAGGAGAAAGGAGGACAATGCAACTTAATTTCCTTGCAAGGGTGTGCAAAGATATTTCACAGCTGCAATCCCTATGCTTCCTGCTTCTCCTCTCGAGAGAATAACCAGCACCATCCTAAAGAATGGGACAAATTGTGCAACATTCCTTTGCCTACTTAGGGTACGTCTACACAGCAGAGTTATTTTGGAATAATGTCTGTTATTCCAAAATAATGTGCTAGCTACACAGGAAGCCCGTTACTTTGAAATAAATTCAAAATAACGGGCTTCTTACTCCAACTTCCTGTAAACCTCATCATACGAGGATTAAGGAAGTCAGCGGAATAGCAATTTATTTCGAAATAAGTGCTGTGGAGACATTGCCAAATTTTGAAATAAGCTATTTCAAAATAAGTGACAATTTGCATAGCTCAAATCGCATTGCTTATTTCCAGGTACATGCTATTGTCTAGATTTCTATTGTCTAGATGCAGCCTTAGTGTACACAGAGGAGATGGGAGCACTTTCCAGTGTAATGGCATAAGTGGCAAGCCATAATTGAACATTTATAAGGGAGCATGGACCTTTCAAAAGGATCACTGTACTAAACACAAGTACTGAGAGCCATTTCAGCACCAGTAGACTTGTGTAGGGACTAAATCACCAGGTGTTGGGGTCCATTTTCATTTATAAATGGATTTCCCAGGTCTGGTGACAGATTTTTGCTGGGCCAAGGGCGATGTGGGTGGGGCTCAGCTCCACCTCGGGCAGGGTCTCAGGTGGGAGGGGGTAGGATTAGAGCAGCTAGCCCTCTGCATTGCCTGGACTGCACCATGTGGGGTTCCAATGGCTATTTAAAGGGCCTAAGGTTCTGGCTACTGCAACTGCAGCCCATAGCCACATTCCAGTGGCCATGGGGTTTCCATTTTTTTAGCCTCCTCTTCACCAGAATGGGGCTCAACTCTTGGCTGTGCCATTATTTTCCTTTGTATTGTTTTCTCCAACAATATAGCTATTGCCAGTCTCGCATGCTAAAAATTGTTACCATGCTGAAGCTTTGCTTTAACCTCATGGGATTTCTCTTTTCCCATTTGATTTTTTTGCTTCATTAATGCTGCATTGTTCCACAGGAAGCTGGGGTAAGGGAGCATTTCTTTTCCTACAATATTGTTTCACAATTTGCAGTAACAACATTATGCTCTAACAGGATTAGAGTTATGTACCCTTGTTTGTGTGTCTTTACCAGCACCTTAGTTGGGTGTTTTACCTAGGAAACAACATCCTGGCCAAGCAGTACTGCAAACAAATATCCTATTTAACTGTACGGCCCAGATTTTGAAAGGTGTTCAGGAATCCTAGTGCTCAGCGTTGCAGACCCTAACTGATATGATCCTAAGTCTAATTTTCAAAAGGAATTTAAGCACTTAGAAACCAAAATCCTACTGACATGCAAAGGCAATTAGACTCAAGTGCCTACAACCATTTTGAAAATGAGATTTAGGCTCCTAAGTCAGTTAGGCTCAGATTTTTAAAGATATTTAGGTGTTGCATTACTGAGGGTGGCAACACTTAGACCTGCAATCACCACTCCATTGACTGGCACATGATTAGTCCCTTTCAAGACAATGGAAGTAGTCCTTTGCTTAAAGTTATGCTCATGCGCAAGTACCTTGTTGAATTGGAGCATCAGTCAGGAACAGTGCCGTCCTTACCCATATTCAGAATATGCACCTGGGTGCAACACCCCAAAATGTGGGGCACCACTGGGTCTTAATGTCCTTCTACCTACCTCTTCCTGGATTCATGTCCTCTGGAAAGGATCTAGTTAACTTAAAAGTGAAAAAGCCTATTAATCAGCACAACACTGAACCTTTGAACGAGCCATTTAACAGGCATTTGCCAACTCCAGGTATCTGGGGATATCCACATCCGCAGATATAGATTTGGTTAGTTGCAGCTCATTTTTGAGGATAAGGATAAAAAAAATATCTGTGCAGGGCTCTAATAGTACTATGTTTTGCCCCATAAATCCTGGTCACTAATGTTTGTAAATTATCTGCTAGAAAAGAGCTCCTGAATATTCATAGGATTTTGTCATCATGACAGATGTCATGTAATATGAAGCCATTCCAAACTTCACGGAATCACTTGTACTTCATGGCCAACAGGCATGCATGGTAAATTTGCCACAACAGCACTCTGACACTACGTTCTCTGACCTGTGACTGCTGCACATGTGTGCCCACAGAAATTACATCAAAACAGAGGTAGCTCTTCTACCACAGTAACATCTATTTGTACCTCTAGCAATGTGCTGAGACAACTCTAGAATACTAGCACTCAGCTCTTCCTGTCAGTCACAACAGACTCTGCTATCCATACATTTACCACGGGATCAGTTCTAGTTCTGACATCATAGCATCTGTGGCTGTATGCAAAGACTGAAGAGATTAAGAAAATTATTGAACTAAAATGTTGGTGATTTGTAGGATTAAAACAAAACACCAGTGCCTTAATTATGCTAGCTTTTCTTCCTAACTGGATTTATACTGTGGGATTCTAAACATTTACTCACTAATGAAATAGCTGCAAAATTTTATCATGACAATAAGATGATGTTTTAGCATTCTAGATTTCCTGTGCAGATCATTGAGTGATGTATGGCAGGATGTTCCTGATCTCACTGAGAAGAATGGGGACACATCACACACACACACACACACACACACACACACA